TTTTTTATTTTTTATTTTTATTTATATATTTATAAATATAATTATATATAATTATATATATATATATATTTATAAATATATATTTATATATATATATATATATATATATATATATATATATATATATATATATATATATATATATATATATATATATATATATATATATATATATATATATATATATATATATATATATATATTTATTAATAGCAATTAGCGTATTAATTAAATAAAAATGAATTAATCAACATTGATAAAATTAAAAATAAGCATAATTATATTTATTTTGTAGAATTGCATTACAAAATGTTAGAAATAAATTGAAAAACTAAAAAGAATGGCATACAAATATCACGGTACTGATAATGTGAACTGGGGACTGAATTGTAAAAAAACAATTCTCTGCCTCATAACATGTATGAACTGTGTTTGACATTAATGCCAATAAAAATAAGTACATCTAACCAATATTTGGATATAAATGCTTCATCAACTTTAGTGAGGTGTTAAATATCGTTGTCGATGCTTATTTAGGACAAGATTTAATTTCGGTTTAGGGAAGGAAAAAACGAAGACGTCTATATTTAAGTGAAAATTATATAGTGAGCTTTGAGCTTTTCCAGCAATCGTACCACAATTTAATATAGTAACGACGATGACTAATCAAAAATTTAATGAATGTTGATGAAACCAATCATTTAGAACATCAACTCGGGGCTTGTTTGGCTAATCTTATAACTTGAACAATGACTTTCGGATATTGATTTATTTCAACATTCATAGACCATAATCACGCGAATATCGATTCAACATTCAATAGTATTATAAGAATTTCATTTTTATATGAAGAAATATGTTGTCACTTATATTAATTTATTGGATAAACATATATTTTTGTTCAATAACTTGCAAATTACACGAAAATGAAACACTTCCATCCCACATGAATAAGTATGGGATGGTGTCTAGCTTATAATCATGTCTCCTTTAAATTATTGATTGTTCAATCAATATATATATTCACTAAACATAACCAAAAGCATGCTATATTAAAACATGTTGTGTCTTCAATGATAAAAGAAAAAGAAAAAAATAATAATTAAAGTTAACGAAGAACAATAATACATAATTTTAGTTATGCTTGGATCGATGAATTTACATGTGCGGGTTCGAAATCTAAAGTAGATTCGTTTGGATCAATTCAATCTGCGGGAACTTCATCTTTTTAACAATTGTGAATCTTAAACTCGTTCTATATGAATTCATTTGAAACTTTTTCGAATAAATCGTGTACAATAGTTCGTAACTTGCTTGAGAAATGTGAATTACAAAATTTTTATTATATAATTTAATCATGTTCGATCAACTCGATCTAGGAAGTGTTGGCTGGGGGTCGAACTTAGAACAATCACTACAAATTTACTGTATAAAAATTGGAATCAGAATAATTTGTTCCAAATTTGAAAATTTTCAAATCTAAATCAACGAAAATCAATTTTTTTTTTATTTGTACCCCAATATCAATTAAAATCGGGTCGAAAACTGAATCGTGTATATGTATCCCAATATCGATTTAAAAACATTAGAAATGAAAAATCTAAATGTTTTTTCTGAATTTAAAATATTTTTAATCTAATATTTGAAATTAAAAAATTAGTTCCAATTAATTTCCAGCAAGAATAACAATTTGAAACTTGATCTGTAGAGAAAGGATAAAGTAAAAGAGTAAAGACCGGTCCGACATGGAGGAAGCATCTTGACCCCATCTATTAAAGCGTGCCTGCACGCCTTTGTATGTCAAATTAAATTAAATTAATTATTAAATAAATAAAAATAATAATTAATAACCATTAAATTACTGCCCACTCCTCATCTTTCCCAATTCAATATTTCTATCAATTCAAACCAAACAAATTAAAAAAAAATATATAATAATAGGGTAAATTACAACCACCCTTGAGGTATGGTCAAATTACGAAAACCCCCCTCCTGTTTGGATAATTACAACCACCCCTCTACTTATCAAATTTAGTGGAATCTTCAAGATAATATGGAATATTATTACTTTTGTACCCGTTTTATCTTATTCGAACTCTACATTTTGAAGTCGTAATATGTGTTTTTTGGCTTGTATATATCAGATTGTGGTACATCAGAAACTGTATTTCTACACAAACGAGTACAAACTAGAGCACATTTTCACAGAATCTAGATGATTATGTTGAATTTGACACCATAAGGGTGGAAGTGTAAGAAAAAATCATAGTTGAGGGGTTAGATGTAATTATCCAAACAAGAGAGGTTTTTTTCGTAAATTGACCATACCTTAGGGGGTGTTTGTAATTTACCCATAATAATAAATTCCCTCCTCCGTCTTCCTTTTTTTCCTCTTTCATAAACATTTCACATTCACCCACCGCTCTAATTTCAAGGCCATGAAAAAGCTGTAAAAAGATCATCACCACCCCCACCACCACCACCACCACCACCACCATCTTTATATCTTTCCCATTTCTCCCCTCCACATGGCCTTTGAATCCACATTCACAATTCTTCATCATGGGTTTTCTTTCTTGCAATGCAGAGTCCGCCATTGCCACCTGCGATTCATACAACTGGGAATTATTATCTAAGAAGAAGCCCACAAAGAACCGGAGACCCTTCCACATTACAGAATTTCATTTCTCCGATCTTCACTCCGCCACCAATGCCTTCTCCGCCGCCAATCTCCTCGGAAAAGGCAGCCACGGCGCCGTGTACAAGGCTTACCTCCACCAGATTAAGCTCGTCGCCGCCGTAAAAAAAACTAAGCAAATCCACCCCACCGGCGCCGCCGGCGCCGCCAATCCCGCCGAGAACGAGGTGGAGATCCTATCCAGAATCTACCACCCCAGGCTCGTGAATTTGCTGGGCTTCGCAGTTGATCAGAACCAGAGCAAATTGATCGTGGTGGAGTACATGCCAAACGGCTCGTTATTCGACCTGCTCCACGGTTCGGGTAAACCGCCCGGTTGGGTCAAGAGGACCCGGTTCGCGCTGCAAATTGCATGGGCGGTTCAGTTTCTGCACTCTTCAAACCCTCCGATTATCCACCGCGACATTAAATCGTCCAACGTTCTGATCGACGCCAAGTTCAATTCGCGGATCAGCGACTTCGGCTTGGCTCTCAGAGGCCACGTGGAGGACGTCAAGGTCAAGTCCACGCCGCCGGCGGGTACGCTCGGATACCTCGACCCCGGCTACCTCGCGCCGGGAGACCTCACCACCAAATCCGACGTCTTCAGCTTCGGAATCCTGATGCTGGAGATAATCAGCGGCCGGAACGCCATCGACGTGAATTACAGTCCGCCGTCAGTGGTCGATTGGGCGGTGCCGGAGATAAAATCCGGCAACATCACAGGGATCTGCGATCCGAGGATCGGACCGCCGGAAGACACGAGCGCCCTCCGCCGGATGGCAGCGTTGGCGGTGCGGTGTGTGAGGTCCTCGGCCGCGAAGCGGCCGGAGATGGCGGAGGTGTTGGAGTGCTTGAAGAGCGTGCACAAAGGCATGAAGACGCAGTCGCAGATCTGCGTCAGTTTCAGTCGGCGCGTGGAGCGCGTGTGCGAGGGTTCTCGCGCTGTTGTGAAGTACGAGCCTTTAGATGAGAGCGTGGAGCTGGTGACGAACAATAGTAGTACTAGGGTGGGAAACAGAAGGAAAGGGAAAGTATCTAGTGCGACGAGCGTACAATTAGAGAGTGATGTGATTGGTGATTGTGTCTTTAGGTCAAAGTCAATAGGGACAGCTAGCGAGATTAAATTCCTGCCGACGGATCTTACTAACGAACACATTAATAGGAGGAGGGTGGGATTGAGTGTGAAGATCCACACGGTGAGTCTGAGTAAGTCAAAATCGATGGGGTTTTTGCAGAGTAGTAAAAGATTGGTCAACAACAATGGTCATCGCATTGGCACCAGAAAATTGGAGGAGTCCAAATTATTGGTTGATTTAGTTGAAAATGTTAAAGGTGAAGAAAAATACTGAAATTTGAATATTCAATCGATTTTCAGTAAAGGAAATTAAATTTATCCTTACAAATGCCTTTTACAACTCATAATTATAGATTTACAGTTAATGGTTCAAATATGTAAACTTAAACGAAAAAGGGTAAAGGCGGAAAGTAAAACCAAAACATTGATACACCCGAGTAGTATTTCACCGTGGATCTGCACACAATCACACACACATACATGTGAATGTGTGTAAAATACTAGCCGGAATTATCAGTACATGTATATGGTGAGATCTATAGAACAAACCTCAAATTGCACGATGATACATTTGAGCTGCTTTCTGCGGAGATTTTAGCTCACTATATTGAAGCTAGGAGACGGGAGTTTATTATAACATTGGAGTAACTTTAGGTTTCTTTTTATTCTTGCGTTTCTTCTGGTTTTCCTTGATCCTCGAGAAATCTTTGATGCTCCTTTCCCATTGTTTTCGGTTTTTCTGATAAAGCAGCATTGCAGCTCGGGCGTCTTCTATCTGAAACACATTATAAAAAAATACCCATAAAATATGTCCATAGTACCCTTGGCATATTTAGTTATAATCTTTAAGAAAAATTAAGTCTATAATTGTTTAAAGTATTTGTCAAATGATTTAAAACATAGAGAGGAACACAGATATCAGAAATCGGGGGGAGCATCTGAAGTAGTGAGATGGTTTCGGTAAAAGAAAACCCTAGTTCGAAGAGGGAACGGGATAGAATGCATCAGCATCAGTCAACCTCATATCCCGTAAGCTGTTTAATTGAACAATAAAATAAATAAATTAGAGAAAAAGCACTAACCGGACAGTGCTCTCCATTTTGAATATCAACGTTAAGAAACTCGGCTGCTAGGTTCTTCAAGGAGCGACTGCGTCCTTCCCTGATTCATCAAGCATACATCAATAATATGAGCCAAATATCCGTCACTCGAAAAAGTATGCAATGAGTAAGAAAAACACACTACTTTAGATACGGTGCATATTCTGCTGTATCTCGTATATCCTTCTTTGAATGACTCAACAGCAACGCCTACAAAGAAATATTAAAAGCTCATACGGTTAAGTTGTGTAATCAGACGAGATGCATACTTTAGGCATAAATGTTTGTACCTTTAGATCATTACGCAATGCATGGCCAACAAGAATCCTACCATGTATCATATCCGCTACATTCTTCTGAACAGCATTGAAATTCTTTGCTGCAAGTTACAACCGAAGCGGGGATAATAATTATATAGGTATTAACAGAAAATGGTTCGTAAATTTAACCATGTTAACAACACAACAATTCTAAATACTGAATGCAAAAGTGGGGGGAAAAAAACGGAACCAACCTTTCCTCAAATCTCCTGGTCGAATACCACTTATCTCTGTACGGAAGTCAACAACATAGTCAACGGGGCGGACATACTCGTCATATATAACATTTCCCCATTTGTTTACCTGCCATACATTAAAGATGACTTATTCTACAGCCAAACGAGTAATGCGAGTGATTATAGTTGTTTAAATATCTTCAAGATATATAAAGATTGTATAGTCGAGAAAAATACCACAGTGACTCTTCCAAGAGCGCTCTTGTTGCCCATTGGGCTAACACCAACCATCTCACAATCCATCGCCACCACATCTGTGACACTGTCGGGTAGATTATATGCATCGAACATTAAAGAGTTAGCCTATTTGCCAAAGAATCGGAAGCTGAGTATTTTTTTCTGGAAAATGAAAAATAAGTGAAAACTGAAGAACTCGGAAAAATTTCAAATTTCCAATCGAAAAGACCATCTATTTCAATGAAGACTAAGTTCAATTCCTAAATTAAAAGAAACCCGGCGAAAGAGTGCAAATTAAGCACATTCTAATGTGTTTCCCCAAATGTTAAGCTTCAACTTCAATACCCTAAATCAGTAAAACAATTACAAAAAAATGCGAAAACTTAATCGAGAAAGAAGAAAATTCACCTGCAATCAGACGAAGTAGGAATCAAAGGATTGACTTCTAAAACATGAGAATCCTCATCCGACCTCTGCTTGCGCTTCCCTATAAATGAATAAAACCCTTAAATATATAAAGCAGTAAAAAAAAAATAAGTAACAATTCGCGCGTACGAAATACAATTTTTTTACCTAATAAGCTTCTCTGTGATTCTGTATCTGGTTTGCTTGAATGTTTGGAGAAGTAAGGCTTGGGTTCAATACTTTTCAGCTTCTGCAAAAAAATTATATACATACAGTTTAGCAAAAGTAAAATTCAGCTAGAAAACATATACATAGAATTCATCGGTGTATGAAATGGAGAATTTGTTTGAAGATAGAACCTCCTGAAGCTGAGCCCAATTAGGGTTGAGGTTTTTGCTAGGGTTTTGTATCCCCATTCTTGAATTTCCTCTGCTACGGCGCTTCTTTTCTAATGCATACCTGCCAGACCAAAGTCGCTATAAACTCCACCGATTTTAAGTCTTTGTTTAAAATATACTATTTTATAAAATCGCGGTTTCAACAATGTGGTTTTCTATTAATGAGAAATACAAGTAAAATTGATTCATCATTTCTATTTTCGTTTCATGAATTATAATTTTTTTTTTTATGATTCTATAAATTTTAATTTTGTAATTTTTAATTATTATTACTAATATTTTTAATCATTAACATTAATAGTGTTATTTTTATTCAATATAGAGTGTGCTTTCAATTTTCAGAAAAAGAAACTAATTGGATAAATAAAAATTTCACATAATAAATTAAGAAAATAAATTGATTAATCTGGTATATAAATATATTAAGGTCTCGTTTGGTTGAAAATATTAACCATAATTAGTTAATTGGACTTTGTTTGAGATGTTTGGTAAACCAATAATTTCTTGGGTGGCCTGTCATGTTTTTAAGGAGATTTTTTGTTAAACCTTCCAAACTCCAATAAATAATTAGGTTTCGTTAGATCATTTAATTTTAAGGTTAGACAAAACTCAAAGCACCAAATTGATAGTTTTTCGAGTTGACTTTCTAATCCGACTTGAATCACCATAAAAGCAGAAGTTAGTGATTGTGATTTAAGTTAGTTTTAAGTGCTTATTTCTAAAAGTTGGGGGTGTTTGCAAATTTTTTTTTTTTTTTTTTTTTTGGTAATGCAGGAACCCGCAGCCAACCATATAGGTGCACTGGGTAAACCTACACTCTCGTATAATAGCTTGCAAACCATACGAGAGATGTAAACCACACTAGGCTAACCATGTGTGACAAGCTCGACCTAGCGACCGTTGGCAAGGGGATTCGAACTTGGGTCAATTGACCCAAGCTCTCTTGCTCCAACCGCTAGGCCACCCTTGCGGGTCATTCATACATAACTTTTGACCTCATATGAAAAGGTTATTCATGAATCAATGAACATTTGGCGCAAATTTGATAATTGAATTATCTAAAAACAAAAAATGTAACTCATTCATGCACAACCTTTGTCTTCCGACACTAAAATTAGCTGACTCGGATTGAAATGGAAAGCTAACACAAAAGGCTACAGTTTCCATCTTTTGTATGCCAAAATCGAACTAGAAAATGGTAATAATTTCATTCTAAGTCAAAACAATACCATAGTAAATTACAATCGACATTTACCATTTCAATTCTACGATACAATACGTACACGTGTACAGATGCCTAGTGATTCTTTCCAAGTTTTAGCACTAGCAAATAAATGAGAGTGACATGTTTGTCTCACAAAATGCCCAAAACTGCTGATCCCATAACACCACCGAACCGTATACAAATCAAGATAATTAGTCAATCATTTCGACTGCCACGTAGCTCCTCTTATTTCCACGTGGCATTTCACTATGAATTTCTTTTAATTTTTTATTTAATTAAACAATGGTATAAATAACACAATATATATACACATTCAAGAAACATGAAAGTCTGTAGTGCAACAAAAGAAAAAAGAAAAGAAAAAAAAAAAGAAACATGTTGCCCTCAAACCACTTATTCTACTCATCAACACTTGTTTTTCTCATTTTAATTTCACAGTACACTGTAAAATCAGAAGAAGGTGGCGGCGGCAGCAATAATTATGGAGATGGCAGCATAGTTTTGCCCCCTCCCCCAAGTACCGATGATCAATCAGCTTGTAATAACTGCTCCATCTGTCAGTACCCTAATTGCCACCCACCACCCCCGCCGCCGTCAGCTGGTAACCAGCCCTACGCCGCCCCACCTCCCCCTTCTGTCGGAGGACAAGTGAACTGCCCCCCGTCAGCTCCGGTCATATGCTGCGGCGGCGCGGGCGGAGGCCAGTATTATCCACCGCCGACCCCCTTCTATCAACCTTACAATAACTACTCCGGCGCGGCGCCTATGATCATCACCAAGCCCGGTTCTTATTATGCCTCCACGTGGCCTCCTGCTGTTTTGTTCTACTGCATCTTGTTATTCATTTTTCACTAGAGAGTTTTAATTTGTAATATATAATGCATATATATCGTTTAATACATAGAGGAGTTGATTAATCATGTGCTAAAGCCTAAAGATAGTGCCTTTTTCTTTTTAGTACTAAATTCCAGAACAATTATATGTAATTTCGTAGTTTATAATATTCAAATATTTAACCCTAATTTAAGTTGGCGTTATATTTTCTAATACAAAATTAAACATATTTACACACTTTACTTGAAATTTTTGAATTTTATTTTAATAAAACAAAACTTACATATTAAATATTTTAATTTCACAAACAAAATGTAAAGCAAAATTGATTCTATTAATTAGCAAAAGAGAAGAGACGTATTAAAAAATCAATAAACCTGTATAGATTAGAATAAGTGAAATTTAACAAATGATTAAACACTTTTATTACTACCGTTCATTTTATCAATTATTTTTTTGTTTAATTAAGAACGATAAGTGATAAAATTTTAAGGGAAAAAAAACATAATTTTTTTATTTCATCATTAAAATTTGAAGTGACAAACAATTTAGAACACAGAAACTTTTCTGAAACAATAAATATTTTTTCTGAAATTATATGTCATAGCCTCATAGACATGTTAGAAAGCAATAATTATCTCAAGAGTCGAGGATCTTGATTCTTGATACTCCTCATGTTCCACAATATTTATATATTTGAGAATTTTTTTTGTTCCATATTATTTGTCGCTTTACAATTCCAATAATGTATTAATTATATATTCTTCAATTATAACTTTATTGACTCTCCAATATTATTTTTAGGACCGGCAATTGAGTCGGGCCTATCTGAAGCTCGATAGCTCGGCCCAATTTTATTTGAGCCCGATTAATTGTAAGCCGGAACGAGTTTGAATTTACCGTGACTCAACCCGAATAAAGCTCGACTAAACTAATATATATATATATATATAGTCTTTTTTTTCAAGTTTCAAGATTTTCGAAAAGAGCTAGGATGACATTTAGAATTGCTTTTATTTTATTTTATATTTTTTTTCATATAATTAATCAAGGATTAAATATTTGCAACATTAAGATTCATTTATTTTTATGAACTGACTATGATTTTATATCTTATTTTGATTTTCAATGAATATTCCATATTTTTCTCTTAGATTCTCAAGTTTTCATTTTTATTTTTTTTAACATGTCCGACTACAAAGTTGTTAAATATATAATTTATTCATTGTCCGATATTAATCAGAAACCCGAAAAAACATGTGAGCCGAGTTTGAGCATATAGGCATAAGGTCTGATGATATTTGGGCTTGAGCCTATAATAATGAGGCCCGATGTTACATGAGCTTGAACCAACCCAGGCTCGTCTCGTCTCACATGACCTGATTGTCAGCCCTAATTATTTCTGCATTAGTTAGTAAACGATGATATTTTGGTCTATCAATATCTATTTTTCTAAAGTCATCAAGACATGTTTATTGAGATGTTTAGAAGTTGAGCCATGGTGAAAACGACACTAATATAAGAACGGAGGGAGTAATCTAACTTGAAGTTATGTCGACTCGGATAAAAAAAACTGTCTAAGAGCCCGTTTGGCTAAGCTTATTTAAAACATCTTATAAGCTCCTACATCTGATAAGATGTTTTAGGAGCTGATAAGCTGTTAGATCTTATTTTAAAAATTATTTTTTAAGGTGTTTGGATATGTAGCTTATAAGTTACTTTTTGTTTTTATAAGTTGTTCAGGTGTTTGGAAAAAAAAGGTCTGTTTATTGCTATAATGACAAAAAAGTACATGATGCCAGTATAATTGTTAAACTTATTTGACTCAAATACTTTTGTTCCTAAAATATTATTATAATATTTACAAATTATTTTTTCAAATAATAGTAATAATATAAAATTATATAATAATATAAAATAAAAGTTGTAAAAGAAATATAATTTTTTTTTGTAGATGAAAGAAATATAATTTATTATGGAGATAATAAGAATATTCGTGTATTTTTATATACATATAAAATATAAATAGAGAATAATTTTTTTTACAATTATTATGATAATTACGATAATTATATTTAACTAATTATTAATCTTGATTACAAGAATACGTTGTTTTGATAAAATATAAATATTATTAGTATTCATGTAATTTGAGGGTAATTTTGTATTTTAAGTGTTTTAGTAAATAAGCAAATAAGATCTTAAAGAAAAAAGGTGGGGTAGAGGTATTTTTTTAAAAACATCTTATAAGCTCCCTAACAGCTTATTTTTGGAAAAAATAAGATCTTTTGCAATTTTTTTACCAAACACTTTTTAACAACTTATAAGCTCCTAAACATCTTATAAGATGTTTTTAGGAGCTTATAAGCTTAGCCAAACAGGCTCTAAGCCATCTTGTTTCTTTTTAATGAATATGAACTAAATTACCCAACATGACCTTTAATTTTGTCACATATGACATATACCAAAGTAGCTCAATTTTAAGGAATATTTTCAAAGTAATACTTTGATTGCAATAGATGATCTACCGCTAACACACACGTTCCTAGTTTTATGTGGAAGCAAGCAAAGCCTTCCCTAGTTGCAAAGGGACAATGTAACTATTCATAATGACACCTCAATTATTATTCACTTTCTCATTAGGTTTAATATAGTTAGTTCTACACACTTTTACCAACTCTTTATCAACATTGAATTGACTAGTAATTCCCTTTGTTGACTACAACCCTAAACTTCTTTTTTCTTTAACGAAGCAATTCACGGTCAATCATATCGATGCAGTAGGTAAATTTACGCTTTTGTATAATACCTTACAAATCATACGAGAAATGTAAACCATATTAAATTAACCATTTGTGACAAACTCTACCTAACGATTGTTTGACAAATAAATTTAAACTTGGGTCAATTGATACAGGTTCACTTTCTTCGATCGCTTTAATTATATGTAAGTTTTATATTATATGTAAAATTGTGCTGTTTGAAAATCTAAACTCATTAGATCAAATTAAAAGACATTTACCTCATTCAAATTTGTCCAAAATCAATAATATATTTAAAAAAGTATTTTCATGGATCAAATGTCACATTCAACGAAAATATTAGTGATTATAATTTATAAAGATTGAAAATCATCAATAATTGGTGTGATGATAATTATTAAGCATAAGTGTGCATGTTCACAGCTAATCCCACTGCAAGAATTTATTTACCCAGGTATTTAATTTTATCATAATTATGCACTTTTTTTTGTTGGCCTGACGTAGTACTCGAGGCAGGATAGTGATATTACGGAAACACCCTTGACAGCTTCACTAACACAAGGGTAATCTAGGAACTCAAACGAGGATATAATAATAATAATATAATAATAATAATAAAATGTAAAAAGGGGAAATAGCCACGTCGCAGTTGACGGTAAAAAATATATAAGAGTAAAATTTACTACAAATCCCCTCATGTTTCCATAATTACATACACCCCCCGAAATGTGTAGATTTTGTTACATTAACACCCTTTTATATGGGTCGATGCAAAATATTTACAAACTACAGTGATCTGTATATAATTGTTTAAACAAACGGGGTTTATTTGTAATTAGACTTTACCTCAGGGAGGTGGTTTTAATTTACCAATATATAAATAACACCATTACAACATTATTACAAATATATTAAAACTCTCTTTCTATTTCTAAATTCCAGGGAATTTCTCCCTCTTTTCTTTCTTTTTTCACTCACAAGTCAGATCCCTTAATCTTTCTGCTCTGTTCGTCCTTCAATTTTGTTGGGGTTTTTTTTAAAGGTAATAATACTGATCAAATTTATCTTCAATTTTCCAAAATTCCACATTTTTGAAATTTGTTTAGGCATCGTTTCTGCACGCGATTATCCATGCGTGCAATGCACACATTTATCACATCAGGACATGATCATGGTGGTGTTTTATTTGATTGTGGTGCCGATGATCATCGATCATTTTTTTTTTAAATTTTAATGCATGTTTTTAAGATTAGGGTTTTTGCTTTATGTTTATAGATTTTTTATTTAATTTATTTTTTTGGCAGGAGTTAAGAATAAATTAACTGAATTCCTTGTTAGTGATTCAAATTGGAGCTATTTCATGATAAAAAGGTTAGTTCTTGATTTATGTTATAATTAATTTCTTCATTTTTTTATATTAGATGATTGCTCTGGGTTCTTGATCATCTGATTCATGTCTGCCTGTAACTCAAATGCAACCAACTTATGATTTTAGTATATGGGTTTTGTTTTTATCTTGGTTGATCGATGAACGGAAGACGATAAACTTAAATTAAATGTATGTATTTGATGCATTACTGTTTTTTTCATGGTAAGATATTGCAGTTAGTTTCTTTATATGGTGGTTGAGTCATATCAGAATCTTGTAGGTTGTTTTCGTCTAGTTGTATTTGCTTTTTTTTGGACTTATTCGTCATAGTTAGTTCCTTTTGTCGATCATGGATGAATGTGGTTACAATGTTGTTAACAAGGATATTATTCGGCTCTGCGGTTTTTATTTTTGTGTCCGTTTTGTCTCTGTAGTCACTTTTTTCCGGAAGTTTTCTATCCTTGTTGAGTTTTTTTCTCACTTGTCGAGCTTTTTCATTTTCTTATGCGTAGTAAGCTCGATTCTCGAATTACACTAAACTAGCTTGAACATGCTTTAAACAGGTTAAGTGAGTCCTTCGTGTGTTTCTTGAGTTTATTTGCAGTTACTAAGGAACTCGTCTTAAGATTAAGGCTCTGTAATAAAAATCGATTCTTTAAATTCCAAATTCCATTTTCCTATTGATTGTTGTTTTATTCAGAACTCTATATCCGTATCGTAATTCTCTCGGTTAACTCATACGAGTCTTTTCTTTGTTAAATTTCGCATAAATTGAAGTTCATTTTTTTATTTTTTATCCCATTCAAATTAATTGTTACATACGCTCGTACGATATAGGCTTCTCATTCAACATGGGGCACCGCAACATTCAATTCACTGGTCATATAACAAACGAAGCAGATCAAGGCATCTTTTATTCCGGTTTATCAAACTTCCCTCAGCCTAATATCCACCCACTCATTCCGCCACCTATAAACCATTCCAATTTCGAATTTCATCATATTCAAGAACATCCCTTTTACTATGGTACAAATTTCGCTTCACCGTCCAGCCATTACAATCCACATTTACCGCCACCACCCTCCGGTATTAGAGACTTCTTCCCTATTCAAGCAAACCACGGTGCAGAAAGATTCCATCGGAATATACCCTACATGGACGGCAGCGTCGAAGAATCTTTCAAGAGAAAGAACGCTGAGGTGGCTCACACGAGTTACCTGTATCAAAACGGAGGCTCTAGTTCTTCTTCTGTCGTTCCTATGCATCAAAACAGAAACCCTTGGCTGGATATGAATTTCGGCACTTTTGCATGGACACAGCCTACTCCTAATTTACCCTATCTGCATGGTAATTAAATATTGAGATCTAAAAAATAAATGGGATTTTGGAAATTTCTACGCTTGACTTTTTGTATCTCATTTGCATATAGGTTATCAAGTGGCACCCGTAAATCGAAGTGCACCTAGTTTTATTGCTCCTATTTCTCAAGGGGCAATAAGGTACAACCCTAACCATCCACCTCAAGTGGCTACTGCATTTCTCGGTCCTGTTCAACCAACGGGCTTCCGATTGTACCCCTCTCATCGAAGGGAAATTACGATCGACCCGAACGGAAGATACCGGAACCTTCCTCACTTGAGGGTTTTACCAGAAGATGTAACATTCTTTTTCTTTCCTCCACACTACTACTACTCCCATCTCTTGTTTCATTGATAACTCTGATCTATTTGTTATAACTCCATATTTTTTTAGGAAGTGGCTGTACTCGAGATTCCTGGTGGCTACCGTGAAGCAGGGGATTCCGGGGATCAGCACAGAGACATGCGTTTGGATATCGATCACATGTCTTATGAGGTAATAACTGGGAAAAAGGTTGCATTTTTAGATATGTCGGAACTATTAACGAGTGGCTGTTTTATTCTTAGTTTTTCTAATTCGGAGTTTCGATTTTGTACATTGATGTGACAGGAGCTTCTTGCATTGGGAGAAAATATTGGTACTGTCGGCAGTGGATTGACTGATGAATTCATTCGAAATAACTTGAAAACAAGAATCTTCAGCTTGTCGCCAGCTTGTACTAATCAAGAAGAGTTGACTTCGCCTGATCAACGAGCTATCAACTTCTGTGTTGTTTGCCAGGTACTTATCGTGTTTAGATAAATATTAATTTATTCTAACGAGCTATTTTCGGTTTCATGCTGATATTGAGATCGTAGAGCAATAAAATACGATGTCTTTCTAATGACCTTTTTCCGAGTATTCACTCTTGCCTATCGATATGCCTTATGTAAAATACGTAAATTTGACTATGGAATTGTTTTTATTACTGATTTCGGGGTTTATTGTAGAATGATTATGAGTATGAAGAAAAAATTGGAACCCTCGACTGTGGGCATGAATACCACAGAGAATGCATAAACAAGTGGCTGCATGTGAAGAACACTTGTCCTGTATGCAAATCCACAGCCTTGAGAACAAATTTGTAAATAGATGGTGCAATAAGAACAAAATAAAAAACCTTCGGGTTTATTTAATTATTGTTAATCGACGAGAGAACTCTTCTCTTCATGTATTATATATTGATGTGTAAATATACATGCAGATATACGACTGGCGCCTGAAACAGTTTGTTGGCCTTATATCTGTATCGGAAAAAAAAATGTACAGACTAATTTGTTTGTGCTGTTTATGCCTGATGGCAGTATCGGAATTCATTACTTATCTTGTATTATATGCACATATTTTGTTCTTTCAACTTATGTTTATCTTTAGCTTTGTTTCGTGATTGAAATCAGATGCAACGATATGCGAGAAATTAGTTTTACCACTATCTAAATTTCAGAGACGCCGTTAAAGATGCGCGCAAAGATGCTTGTCGTTGTGCAAGAATCATGTGTCAACTACTTGCAGGGTTCTTACAACACATAAGATGGTAGTCATTGTGCAAGAATCAAGATCTAAACAGTGTAATGACATTTTTGTAAACAACAACAAGATCATAAGTTTTGTCAAAAGACAGCCACTAAAAAATTCAAAACATAATACAAATCCCAGAATCTCAAAGTCAAGTGAAAATTGAAAAACATAGTACAGTGTAATTCATAATGGACCATTACAACACAAATACAGAGGAAAAAAACCCCCCCGGTAAAATCCGAATTAACCCACGATTCCATTCGAATAAAAGTTCGCAAGCAGAGCAAATTCCCACCTCCCAAAACTGACAATAAAGAGCCACCCCACAAAACGAACCACCTCCTTTGTTTCTTCTCTTCATACAGTGCAGCAGCCCCCTCTCTTCACCGCCGAGACATCGTCCTTTGCCCCAACATTTATGGTCTGTCCTTTGGGCAGTGATGCAGGATCATCTCCAATGTCAAGTGCTTTACGGCTAACAACCTGGTGTATTTGTGTAAGCACTTCCGTGAAGGCATTTTCAACGTTTAAGGACTCGAGTGCAGATGTCTCCATGAAATATGTCTTCTCTCTCTCTGCAAAGGCTTGCCCGTCCTCTGTGGAGACTGCTCGTAGGTGGCGGAGATCCGCCTTGTTGCCGACCAGCATTATCACTATGTTCTGGTCCGTGTGGTCCCGCAGCTCCTTCAACCACCTCTCCACGTTCTCGAATGTGACGTGGCGAGTCACGTCGTACACGAGAAGTGCTCCTACGGCACCTCGGTAGTATGCACTTGTGATCGCGCGGTATCTAATTGAGGCAAAATAACCTTTGGATATTAGCTAGAAAAATGCAAACAGAATGGTAGAAATATATAAATACTTGCATCATATGAAGCTCAAAATATTATTTTTCTTATTATAATCGGTGTTCCTCAGGCCTCACTAAAATCAAAACCCCTAATCAGAAATCCAAAAGACCGTATATGTAGTAGACTCAAGGCACAGTCTAAATGTTTATTGACACGGTTAGAAACATATTTAGAGTACCCCAGTCGTATCTAGTTGTAGCCTAAAAGAAGACCAAGAAGACACGAAAAACAACAAACCAAAAACAGAAAGCCCAAGTCATTAGCAATTCATATTCAGCCTTTTCAGCAAGTACCACGGAAGGGCAATGGTTCATCACATTCGACATGATGCTTTAAAGTGTAAGAAATTCAAATCTGTCAGTAACTACCATTCAGGGTAAATAGTCCATCACATTTACATGTAAATTTGATATAGAAGTCTTGCGTTCTTAAAATCCACAAATATAGTCTAGCTCACAAGATATCAGAATTACAACAATGAAGAATCAGCCGAGAAAAAAGTTCCGTAAACATAACCGCTTATCCCTAATGTTCCTCTACATCAAGAAAATCCATCTCCCTGTTAGCCCATCAGAATATCCATCAATAGCCATTTATACTGTATAACACTCACAACCGCACACAAGCAACAGTGGACTTTTACACACCCGTCAAACATGAATTTCAAAAACCAGGGTTTATACTATCCTACGCCAATGGATAATATCCTACCGTAAGCGTGCATTTATCCAATACACATTTTACAAACCCCCCCATATTTTGCGTGTGTGATTGTGTGTAAATCTACGATGATATGCTACGCGGTGAAGTTCCCTCCACCGAGCCTAGCATCTACAATACCCTAACCCCCACCTCCCAAAATCCAGGCACATTTTGCTCAATGGATCTGGAGGCATTCCATACTCAATAAACTACATCTACCCTGATCTACAAATTCCATTACAAATGCATCAAAAATCAGCACCATTCTTTCCATCCTTACTACCACCACAACCCTAAAACCCCTACATTCAGTTCAAATTTCAAATTTCAAATTTAAAAAATAGAGAGAGAGCAGCAATTCTAGAACATTCCTGGTAAAGATCGTAGCTTTAAACAATAAATATGGAAAAAAAGGGGGAGGAAAATACCGTTCCTGGCCGGCGGTATCCCAAATCTGAGCCTTGACGACCTTATCATCGACGCGAATGCTGCGGGTGGCGAATTCGACGCCAATAGTAGACTTTGACTCCAAGCTGAACTCGTTCCGAGCAAATCTGGACAGCAAATTCGATTTGCCGACGCCGGAGTCGCCGATCAGGACCAGCTTGAAGAGGTAATCGTAGTCGTCGTCTGCCCTATATCCGCCCGCCATCTCCAATCTATACTAGTATACAGAAACGTATATATATATATATATATATGTGTGTATCTATATATATACGTAATCCTTGAGATTTATCACTTAGGTTATGAGATCATATACTAGTAACAGAAATGAAAATGTGTCGAGAGTTTTATTTTGGGGGTGTAAATGTAATGGTGGAAGGTGGGAGAGAGAGAGAGTAATTAATATGAGAGCGGAAAAACAAATTGGGGGAAAATTAAAAGGCTTGATTAATTTTCGTTAAGCAAACTTTTACTACCCGGTCCAAAAGGTGTGATTTTCGGACGTTACACTGGGTCGATCTTTACTATTGATCTACACACATAATATGAATGTGTGTGTATTTGTGAGTTTTATTCGATGTAGTATAGTACAAACTAATATATAGCCGCTCAAACATTAATTAAATGGAGATAAACCCAAATTATGTTACATCTTACTCATAACTCCTTAATATTTAGGTAAATTAAAGTCATCTCACGTGGTAAAGTTAAATTACGAAAAAACTTCATTATATTTGGGTAATTACAACCACCAATCAACTATGAATCTTCTTACGTGTTCACTCTTATGGTGTCAAATTCAACATAGTGTTCTAGAATTTGTGGAATGTTCTCTAGTTTGTATTTATTTTGTGAAAAAAAATACAGTTTCTGATGCACCGCAATATAACATTTACAAACGAAGAGACATATCTTACAATCATCTTGCTTAAAAATGTGGAGCTTGAATCGTGTAAAACGGGTACAAACTGGAGAATATTCTCATTCCACTAAATTTGACACCGCAATAGTGAACATGTAATAAGATTCATAGTTGAGGGGTGGTTGTAACTACCAAAACATGAGGATTTTTTAGGTAATTTAAACTTACTTCAGGAGGGTGGCCGTAATTTACCCTAAAATTTATCCCAATACTATCCTCCCAATACTGTTCTCACGTGAATTTTTTCACTTAATTGCATTCAGCATTTTCACTATCGACATTTATCATTTTCGAATTTGTATTTATCATTTTCACTTATTTATATATATCTTTTCATTTTATTTCACTTTTATGGATAGAGTAAAATAAGGACACATCACACTAGCAAAAAGGTGTATGTCAAGTTAAAAGAGAAAAAAGTGTAGGTATGAGTATGACTATATATTTTCTAAATAGGGGTCTTAGGATATAGGTCCCCCGTTCCTGGTGGGAAAACTTATTAGAACTAAATGACAAGTCTAACTAAACATTTGCTTCACATCCCTCATAAATTTTATTCCAAAAATGCCCTCCACACACAAAATATGAAATTTGCATCAAGTAACATTTAAACTGTGTTTATCATTTTTTATTAATCATTTAACATTTTCATTTTGCATTGAATATTTTTTTATTTTTTTTACGTACAACACATTTACTCTTTTTTTTTTTATTCATTTTCGTATTTTTTCAGTATTTTAAGAATCTATTTTTTTCCATTATTTTCTACGTGATATCAAAAATTATGAATTTAAAAAAAAAAATCCGTCTCAGTCATGTATAGACATTCATAGGAAACTATAGGAAACTGTAGTAATCTGTAGTAACCTGTAGTAATCCATAGACATCTATGATAGCATATTCTTGAAACCCTAGTTTCTCCTTTTAACCCTAGCCGCCAGACACCCATAGTAACCCATAGACATCAAATCGAATTTTTTTGGATTTATCCCACCAAACCCTAGATCCACCCACCAAACCCTAGATCCGTGATGCCGAAAGCCACCCACCCCATCCACGCCTCTAAGGATACCACCGGCCACCCCACCCACGCTGCCATCACATATCCGCGCATCACCGCACCACCAACACCATTCTCGAACTCCGAGCGTCGCCGCTGGGCAGCGTTACCCTCGAAGCCGCCTCCGCTACGCATTCCATTGCCGCTTCAGATCCACCGCCTCCACCATAGATCCGACGCGCCACCGCTACCCACTTCGTCGGCGCCTTCACCATAGATTCACCGCAACCGCAGCCGCCGCCTTAATATTCAGATCTGCCCACTCCGCCGCCGCCTTCTCGTCCGCCGCCACCCCGTTTGCTTCTCCAATCAAAAAACTAGTTTAGAGAAAGGGAGAGAAAAAGAGAAAATAAAATGAGAGACAGAGAGAGAAAGAAAGAAAACGATGGAGAAAGAGGGAGAGAAAAGGAGAGAAAGGAAGAGACGGGAGAGGGAGGGGATAGAGAGAGAATGAGGGGAGAAGAAATAGAAATAAATTTAATTAAAAAAAACTGAATGAATATGTAGATTAAATATTTAGGTTATAAGGGTAATTTAGGGATAAAAAAATAATTAAGGATGTATGTCATATATTGTTTCAAATTAAGTATTTAAATAAAAGATTGGTTTTGAACTTGTTATTTAGTTCAAATTAAGTTTCATTTGAGGGGCTCTTAGCATATTAACCCTTCTAAATAAGGGGGCTCCCCATATCTATCTGATTTTTGAGGGTGTAAAATAATTTATTATTTTATTTTTCAAAGACTAATGTTTGTTCTTATTCAAATAATAAATAATAATCAAATTTCAGTCTTTATCAACGCGGTCTTGGCTACTCCCAGTTTCAGTACACAATCTTATTTGTTGGCACGTCGAAAAGTGTGTGTGTGTTTTGATTATTTATATGCTCTATAATAAATAACTTCCGAATTTTAATTCATTTATTACCCTTTTTTTTTCTTTTTCGAATTTGTATAATTGTGTAAAACAGATGAATACAATCGTGCTACTATTTCAAATGACAATGTTGTTTTAGGCAAGTTCACAAATCTTAACAAAAATCTTGATATTTCATTAATATATTTGTCATTTATTTCTCCATCATTAATAAATGTGTTTTTTTTTTTAGGAAAACAAAATAAAAATGATCCGACCCCAAATATCATATACCTTTGTGCAATGGAAGTCCAAACAATTGGACTCGGGTCCTTCAGGCCCAAGGTGCTAAGCCCAGCCACAGGGCCCGCCTTTCTATCGGGTAGTCGAGAGGTGGGATCGGAAAGTCGTACCGAGTTCCGGTCGACACTCTGAAAAACGCCTAACTACCTAAGTATCTATTGACTTGACTATTAAAGTGCTAACTCTGACGTCAGTCCGACTGTTCTTACTTTTCAGGGCAAGTGAAGCTCAGAGGAAGACCTTCCCCCAGCCGACCTCTCAAATCAACGCTCGTAGTCGCCTTGGCGCTCGACGGACAGATCAAAAGATGATATGATTTTTTTTTTTTAGAATTAAAAGATGATATGATTTTTATGTTTGCTAATATGTCTCTTAAAAAATGGGAGGATTACTGAGTAATTTTTAGTTTAGTGTATAATTAAAAAAAAAAAAAACTTAATTATGGAAGTCTTGGGAGGTTTGTGACTTGTGATTTGTGACATATGTTTAAAGTTAAACTAGGAGTACTGATGGGCCTTGATCTATGCAAGCCCAGCATAAATACCAAGGTTGTAAAAAGCGGTAATCGGGTCCGAGTCGGTCAGGCACCGACTCACGATTAATCGGTGCGGCGGTGATTAATCGGTGATAAATCGGAAATAAATCGGTTTTTAAAATTTAATATAATATATTTTTAAATATTATTTATAAATACTCCAAACATATATAAAAAGATATTTAAACATAGTTATATCTCCATCATGTATATATCCTAATAACATAATAAAAGTTTAATAATTATAAGATCACAATACATAAATATCCTTATAAAATATTAATAAAAAAATAATTTTTTTGAATTTACATTTATTCTTGAACATTCCTGGCATACATCATTAGTTCTTTAACAATAACAATTAACATAAACAAAATAAGGCATAAACTCATATTTTCTTTTATTAAAATCCAACTTTTATTTTGAATTATAAAAAATAAAAAAAATAAAAAAAAAACGATTTTTAACCGATTTTTGACCGATTTTTGCCACCGAGTTTGACCCGCCTTAAAGGTTTGACCGCCTCAGACCGCCTCCGACCGCCTCAGACCGCCTAAAACCGCCTCACAGGCAAAAAACCGATTTTTCAAACCTTTACACTAAAATCGTAAAGGTTTTGGACCGCCTCCGCCTCGGAGACCGATTAATCGGCCGCCTCGACCGATTTTTAGAACACTGATAAATACTCAAGTCAAGTTGATTTAATACAACAATCCAAATCTAAGTTAGTTTATTTATTAGATTATTACATTTTTTATATAAAATGAATGAATTTAATTTGCAATTAACTATATAGGTGCATTGAGAGTATTTTCATCTCTATATAATAGTTCGTAAATTACATGAGATATGTAAACTAGAAGGTTATCCATATGTGATGAGCTTGACATAGAGAGTGTTAATGAGATTCGAATTTGGATTAAATGACACCACACTCTCTTGCTCCACCCACTAGACCACCTTTTATGAGACCAAATAGAGATGGCATCAATAAAATTAATCAAGTCGAATTCGGTGATCCAATATTACTAGCAATGTTGTGTACGAAGAAATATTCAGGAATATGGAGGTACATCGGACAAAAGTTATAGTATTGTTCGATTTAACATGTATTTGGTTATTTACAAGTATACATACAATTTTATCTGCACTATATGGTGTTCTTACGGTTATAGATGAAATTCGGACAGACCAAATCATATCGATTTGGAATTGGTTCTTTCAAAAAACATCTATATGTAACCGGAAGCGAAAACATAATTTCAATTCCGTTGCAAAAACATCAGAAAGATCGGAAATTCAAAAATTGGAATGATTTCGTTTGTTCCAAAATCGGTGGAATTCGAAAAGTTCTATTTTTTTAGTCATCTATAATATCAAATACATAATAGCATCGATATTATAAAATGTGATTTTCGAAAAATAAAATTATTCAAAAACTAAAACGGGATCGACATTCGGAATCTAATATGTATTCCAATTCTATCATGAAAATTCAGAAAATTGAAATCAAAATTTTTGTGTGAATAAAATAAAAAAATATATATCAGTACAAAATTGAAAATTTTCGAATTGAAATGGGTGGAATTCAGATATTTTCCATATCTTCAAATGTTTTTTTTTTTTTCAAATTAATACTTAGATATATAAATGTTCTATAATATTTGACACATGTACACAATTGTTGTTCAAGTAGTGTGTCCAAACAAGTCAATTGCACGTCTCTACCTTGTCGTTACAAGTCCAATTCTTCACTACTACTCTCTTTATTCCATCATTAATCAATCTGTTACCTCATTTAACTAATTGACCATCAATTAACTATGGAGAGTAAAAGCACGGCGGCGCAGCCGGCGTTTCCGGCGGTGTTGGATTACCAATCGGGCTTCGGCAACGACTTCTCGACGGAGGCGATCCCCGGAGCTCTTCCCCGCGGCCAGAACAGCCCCCTCGTCTGCCCTTACGGCCTCTACGCCGAGCAGATCTCCGGCACCTCCTTCACCTCCCCCCGCAAGCACAACCAGCGCAGGTCATAAATGCACACCAGTATTAATTATTATTTTTCATTTATTTATTTTAATTTCTGTGAGTTGTTAATTGATTGTTTAGCGTTTGAATTTATGTGTAAGCAGCTGGTTGTATCGCGTGAAACCATCCGTTACGCATGAGCCATTCAGACCTAGAATCCCAAATCACGTGAAGCTGGTGAGCGAATTCAATCAGTCAAACAGCGCCGCCACGCCGACTCAGCTGCGGTGGCGGCCGGCGGAAATTCCGGAAACGCCCACCGATTTCGTCGACGGATTGTACACTGTTTGCGGCGCCGGCAGCTCGTATCTCCGCCATGGTTTCGCCATTCACATGTAAATTTGTATTCCTTGATTTTTTTATCTTCGCCGCTCTAATTTATACTGATATTTCAGCAATTTCATCACTATTAATTAATCTCTGAGGATCTGACTGTAAAGTAATTAGATTGATTTTTTTTTTCTATTTTAAGTGCATCTATTTAAATTGAGCGGTGAAGGAAGCACATAAGATCAATCGTTTTAAGCTTGTGTTAATCATTCTGTTTAATTATTACTGTAATCATTATGATTATTAATCTTATGTTACTATTTTTGGATATGAACTCTGGGAGAGAGAAATTAGGGCAACAAAATAAACCATTGCAATTTATCCGATCTTACCGAATTTGTACTAATATCAATTTCAAGTGAACTAGATCATTTCGATAGATGTATGATTACTATCCTATTTTTTTTTTACTCATAATTCAGCTGCAAACTATAACTACTCGTTTTTCTTTCTTGGACTCTGTTTTTTTTTTCTTCTAATTCATCTCTCATTCTCATCTATGTGGGTGCAACGATCCCTTTTGTTGATTTATGTGCTCTTTCAGAATCTAACCACAGGTGCTAGTGAAAATGTAGGTATTCTGCCAATAAATCAATGAAGGACTGTGCGTTTTGCAGTGCCGACGGAGACTTTCTGATTGTTCCTCAAGAAGGAAGTAAGTCATGCATAATTTTCATAATTGGGTTTGTAATTTCTTTTGAACAAAAAAAGAAAATGCTTTCTTTTACGTAATCGAACCTCATATCGTTGGATTTAATTTTTTTCTCGTTTACATATCAGTTATCAGCAAGTAGGGTTCTTCCTGTTTTTTACATTAAAAAACACCTTTCCGCAAATGCTCTATGTAGGACTACGGATCACAACCGAATGTGGAAGATTGGAAGTTAGTCCTGGCGAAATAGTAGTTATACCCCAGGGCTTGAGATTTGCTGTTGATCTGCCAGACGGCCCATCGAGGGGCTATGTAGCTGAAATATTCGGAACCCATTTTCAACTTCCTGATCTTGGCCCAATTGGTACATCCACGAGTTCTTGATTTATTTATTATTTACTATTTTTTAAACCTTCACGCTAGCACAATGAATTCTTGATCGGTTATTGGGCCATAAATTTGGGGGTTTTAGGTGCTAATGGGCTTGCTGCATCAAGGGATTTTCTAGTACCTGTAGCCTGGTTCGAGGATATCTCGATCCCGGGGTATACCGTTGTGCAGAAGTTTGGCGGTGAGCTCTTCACTGCGAAACAGGATTTTTCGCCTTTCAATGTGGTAGCTTGGCATGGAAATTATGCTCCGTATAAGGTCCGCACATGTGTCTTTTTCATTATACTAAATAGATGAAATGATGATTTAAAATAATATGATATTTATTCTCTTGGTTCTTTTATTTTTCAGTATGATTTAAGCAAATTCTGCCCGTACAATACCGTTTTGATCGATCATGGTGATCCGTCCATAAATACAGGTATTTAGTTTGCTTGTACGAAAATTTAATTATTTTCTGCTGATTTTTCTTGCTAGGTCTATTTTTAGCATATGATGGTTTTCTTTGAGCAATTTTTTTTTTTTTTTCTCTAAATTTTCTGGAATGAAATGCAGTTCTAACAGCACCTACTGATCGACCCGGTGTGGCGTTGCTTGATTTTGTCATTTTTCCGCCCAGGTGGTTAGTTGCTGAACATACATTCCGCCCTCCGTATTATCATCGCAACTGTATGAGTGAATTTATGGGTCTAATTTACGGAGGATATGAGGTAATAAATCCCTCCGTTTTAAATTAATTATGAATTTAAAAAGTTAATAAATCGAATCTTGTTTTCAGGCAAAAGCCGATGGATTTCTTCCAGGTGGTGCAAGCCTCCACAGCTGCATGACTCCTCATGGTCCAGACACAAAAACATACGAGGTAATTAACAAACTCTACTCTCATAGTGCTCGAAATGGAGATTTACTACTCTTAAATTAATAACATCTAAACCAGGCTACAATAGCGCTCGGAAACGAAGCAGGACCGAAAAGAATTTCCGACACAATGGCATTCATGTTCGAGTCGTGCTTAATGCCTAGGGTATGTCCGTGGGCACTCGAATCTCCTTACATGGATCATGATTATTACCAATGCTGGATTGGTTTGAAATCCCATTTTACGGGTGACGAATACATTAGTGAAGATAGCCAAGATGTAAAGAAGAAGTGAGGAAGCGTTACTAAATTAAACTTTCGTATGATTGAAGGGTAAATTGATATGTATATATAAGATGGAATAAAATGTGTGTGAAGAATGTAATGATTTTAGTTCCATAGAGGTTAGCCATGACTTCCAAGTATTTGTAGGGATGTTCATGAGTCGGGTCAGTTGATTATCGGGTCGACCCAACCAAACTGACTTTTACCAATATCCGAAACCGTTACTGACCCGACTTTTATTTGTCGAGTAATGGTTGACAACCTATTATCGGTCAATTATATAAATTTAAAATATTTATCTTTTAAATTTAATATTGTTTTTAGTTAGATATTAATACTAACATTTAATAGAATGTGATTTCTTGTTTCTGAATAACTATTAATGGACAAATAAAACACGTATATCGATAATCTACAAAAAAAGTCGAATGGTTGCGTATTATCGATCAATTGAAATTTTAAGATTTCAGAAACTACCAACTGACCAAACTATACCAAACTATCATGGGTCGGTTCAAACAACCATCTCGACCTTAACGGGTCGATTATCGAATATAATTTGTAGGTCAAAAATTGATCTCTCATATCCCTCAATTCAATGGCATTATCCCAAAAAAAAAAAAAAAACTAAACGAAGACCGTAATATAGAACGGTAATATTTAAGTAATTCGGATCCAGCCAAGGCAAACATTTTGGATGCTTGGTGGAGCCTTCGTGAACACCAAGGTGGGAACACAGGAAGCCCACAACACAACACAACTCAACTCAACTCAACTCAACTCGGTAAGCGAATGAGAAATTGTGCATAAACATGGAGAAATAGCTTTAGCAAAAGAAGAGATTAATGTGCAAAAACATTGAGAGGTGTAATTTATATCCTTTTGGTCAAATTCAGTAGGTAAATTTGATACCGAAATAATGGACGTGTGAAACAATACATGGTTGATGATAAATTGTAATTTGTAACTATACAATTCTGGATAATTTTTCGTAATTTGAGCTTCAATTTATTGAAGCATAAATATTAAATCATATAATCATTGTTTAGGGGGTGGGGGGTGGGGTGGGTAGGGGGAGCAAGTAGTAGTAGGGGTAAAGTTGCTGGCTCCTCCCACGTGCAATAATGAGTCCTACTCTGTCCCAGCCCATGTACGGATCCATTTCGAATTTTTGGGGATCATAATTTAATTATTTAATCATTTAATTTAATTATATAATAGACAGACACATTAACTAAATTATTAGGTAGGAATCTTTGGCTTTTCTTTAAATTAATTAGCTTATTGTATCATTTTCTGGTATCTTGAATGTGAGTTTGTTCTCCATTGCACATGCCATCTCCTTTACTTACCTCCATTTTTCATTTTCTAATTCCCAATTATTTCATTTCAATCCACATCATTTATTTTATTCCTTGACTTGTGATGTCGTACGATTCAACGTCACGTCTCGCAATTCCTCCATCGCATTCTTGATTACTCGCGTAAACACTATCTATGTCACAAAAAGTCGTTTGGGGCGCCGGAGCTTGGTCTCGACGAAAATCCACCAACGCTCAAGATGGTGAAAGAATTCATAAAATTCTATAGACCGTTAAGGAGTTATGTTTGATTGTGAGGGTTCCAGGTATGCAGAAATATATATTCTTATGGGCTTAAACCTCTTAATCTGGATTAACTTGGGCCTGACCGTTTATATTGTGGTCAACTTGAACTTATATTATTAACTTGAGCCTATTTAGGCTCGGTTTGCATGTCTCTCTGGACTTGTTGATATGATCCTTTGGGTGTGGCCCTATCAACTTTGAAATCTTATATTTAAAAGAAAGAAATGCTAGAACCAATCTAATAAATTATAATGGTATATTTATAAAAAAAAAACAATATTATATATATATATTGCACAGACATTTTTTTTCTTATGGAAAAAATGCTAGTGTAATTAATAGAGTGTGCATATGGATTATCATCCCCTATAAAATTAGCCAAAAGTAAATTGAAAATAAATGAAGTAAATTGTGTATATTGATTCAACTTATATTTAACGGTTGGGAAACTTTTGGAGATTAATTAATAATTATGCGATCAGACAGTGTATAGTGTGACAGAAGGTACTTAGACAAGATATTAAACTTTTGTCTAATGATTATTACTGTCTGCCTAAGTACTTTTAATTAACTAATTAAATAAATAAATATACCAAAGAATAAATAAATGCCAATTGGGTGAGAGATGGTGGAAAACTAGCAAGAAGCTTGTGTAGAGAGAGAAAGTGAGAGAGAGAGAGAGAGAGAGAGAGAGAGGAGTCCATGTGACTCTGATTTGGAGACAAAGCAAAGAGGGGGGTGGGGGCTAAGAAACAGTGGCACATGGGGGTGGACTAACATTAACATGCCCCTTTTCTTTCACAGCTCATCTCTTCTATCTATCTTTTTTTTTTTTTTTTGTTTTACCACTATTTATTTTATTTCAAGTGTATAATTAATAATATATTTATATCAATATTGTATATTATTGAATCTCAATGGATATATACTTTAAACTCTTATTTCCTCTATTTTGTGGAAATGTTTCACTTTTGATTGGTCGATACATAATTTTTTAAGATCATTAAAATCTAGGATAAATTAGAACCGCTTGCTGATGTAAGGTCTACTTACGAAAAAAATTAGCTGTATATAATTACATCAAACCCCCTTTTAACACACTTTTGTAGGGGGTGGATGCAAGAAAGTAACAAACTGCAGGGGTTGGGGTGTAATTACTCAAAATTGAGAGGTGTTTTAATAAATAAACTTTAGGGAGGTGGTTGTAATTTACCGTAAAATCTAATTTAAACATTTCACCAATACCTAATGCTGAGTTTACGCCAGTGCGTTTATACATCATTCCTACCTCGTTAGGGTGTAAACAGAATCAAGTCAGTATACGTGTGTTTAATTTTTTGATCTCTTATCGATTTGAAGTTGTGTTTAGATTCGATTTGATAAACAAATCAAGTAGAAGTTCAAACGAGCATTTCAAATAAGAATTGCACTTGAGTAGCTTCTTGACCTTTTGTTACATATTTTGGTATTCTGTTCTAATTGTAGTCGTAGCGAGCTCGAACTTCATAAATTCAAAAACATAAAATAGAAAAAAAAAAAAAAAAAAAAATCAGTTCGTATCAGCTTTAGACATTAAAAGAAGATGTTTAATTTTATTTTTTAGAAAATGATATGAATATTAAAAAAAAAAAAAGATATGAAAAAAAGAAAGTCACATCGGCACGTGGTGGGCTGATTCCCCGGTTATTAAACTACAACTCCCTACTCCAAAAAATCGTTTTGCCCCTTTTTTTTTCTTCCCAGCTGTTGCTGGCTGTCCCTTTTTTTCCCCCCCCCCCCCCCCCCCATCTTCCCTCCAAAACCTCTTCATCTTAATAATAGAAACAGTTAACTAACACAAACAGAACCAAAGCGAGCGAATAACTGATACTCTATACATATATACATATATATCTCGATCAAGAATCCAACATTTTTGCTGAGCTCTAAATTAATCCCAATTGTTTTAATTAGTACTGCATGGAGCAATTACCGCCCAAACCCCCGATTAACATGGCGCACAACTGGTCTTCATTTCCATTCCACATGATGCCGCCGCCGTCGCCGTCCTCCGCCGCGGCGCATCCCAACTCATGGATGGACGAGTTCCTAGACTTCTCAGCCACTCGCCGGAGCTCCCACCGCCGCACCGTCAGCGACCCAATTGCCTTCGTCGAAGAGCCGCCCGCCGCCCACCACCACAGCAACGGCGGCAACAATGGGTTTGACAGGCTGGACGACGAGCAGCTGCGGAGCATGTTCTCCGACGACGTCGTCGTGGCGGTGGGGCCCTCCACCAGGTCCTCGTCGAACCCTTCGTCCAGCGCCAACCCGTCAACGCCGTCGGATCAGGAGAACAGTGACAAATCGGCGGCGGAGCACCACCGCGTCCAGCTGAAGAATGAACCTGGTGAGGTGGACAGCTCGTCCGATAATCCGGCGGCGGCGGCGGCGGCGGCGGCGGATAACCCGACTTATAATAAGTCTTCTGATAACACTTCCGGCGATACTATTGTTGACCCGAAACGGATTAAAAGGTAATAACAAAAACTCACGTCGCAATAATTTATTTATTTAATATAATTTCATTATGGGGTACCACTTTGTACATTATATTAATCAATTATTT